GGCCGCGCGCCGCGGCGCCAAGGCTCGCGGACTGGGAGGCGCGGAGGCAGTGGGCTGGCTCATGGGAGCCACAGGCTCCTCCTCCAGCCCCGGCCTCCCAGCCTCCCAGCCCGCCAGCCTTGCAGCCCCGGCGCGCCACCCCACACCTCCCCAGCCCGCCGCCACACTCCCGCGGGCCACACCGCCGCCGCCCACCTGCGTCACGCCGCCGTTCTGCTTGAAGATTTCGTTCTCCACCGCTACGCCGCACACGACGGGGTCTCCCTCCACGCCCTCCCCCACCGCCAGCTGGAAGTCGGAGGCCAGGTTGTACCTGCACTTGTCCCGCAGCGAGTCGCCGCTGCGCGGTACCGCCTCGGGCTCGAGCGGCGGCGGCGGCGGCGCAGGGGAAGCGCCGCCCCCCGCCACCGTCTGCTGGCTGGAGGGCTGCGCGTCGTCGGGGCCCTCGCCGGTGCCAGCCTGCCTGCTGCTGCTGGCCGGCGCGGACGCGGCCGCCTTGCTGCTGCCGCCCAGGCTGGCGCTGGCTGCGCCGCTGGCTGCGCCGCCGCCGTCGGCCTCCTGCTTCACCGCCTCCTTCCAGGCTGCCACCACCGCCGAGGCCGCCGCCGCAATGTCCTGCTTGCTGTGCTTGGCCAGCGCCTTGACCCGCTTCCCCGCCTGCGTCTCTGACAGCACCTTGGTGCTCACTCGCTGCTTCCGCAGCGCCTTGAGCCCATCCACGGCGCGGCCCTGCAGCCCGGTGGGACGCGCGCAGCGCAGCGGCGGGCAGTGGGGACGCAGGGAGAGGCGCTGGCGGGCGGCAGGCGCGGACACGTGGCCGACAGGCGGCGGCGGCGTGCTGCAGCGGTCACTGGGCAATCGCTGCGAGGAGGCTGGGGGTCATCTCGACCGCCCTCCCACCTGCTCCGCTGTGTCCCCATCCTCGGCCTTCTTGGCTGCGGCCACCACAGTGTCCACCAGCTTGCCCAACTCGGCAGCGGCCATCGCAGCGGTCACTGGGCAATCGAGACTCTACGACGCGTTATCCAGCAGATGGAGAATGCTCTGGGCTGGTAGAGGGCCAGCGGGGCCGAGAGCAAGGCGAGTGGGGAGCGTGCAGCTTTTGAATGCTGCAGCGATGGATGTATGACTGAATCCGTGCCTCACAATGCCGCAGGGCCGACCGTTTCGCGGTTTAAGCCCTGCAGTGCGCTGGAGTACAGCCCGTACTGCCTGGCAAGTTTGCTGCCGCGCTCAAAGGCCGCACGGGGCCCCGATCCGCCATATTAACCGGCAGGACGCGCAGATCGACAGCATGGGGCGCTGAGAGGACTCCCCAGCTGCTGCACGGCTGGCGATGCTGGCTTTTGAGGCGCAGGGCTGCAAAACAAGATGGCAGGCCCGCTGCACGTGCTGAGTGCGCGCCTGCAGTCTGACACCCCCGTGAGCACCGTCGCCCTCGAGCCATATGTGCTCTGCCGGAGAGGCGATGGCACGACGGTGTCTGCAGGTGGGTGGGCGTCAGCAGGCTGCGGTGCAGGCCGCCTCGGGTGAGCCGCTGCCGCTGATCCGGACCCCCCACGAGCTGTCCCCCCCTGCCTGCCCTGCAGAGGAGGTGCCAGCGGAGGGGCACACCGACAGCAGGTTCAGCGTCAAGTGCCGCTGGTACCGATCGGTGGTGACCAAGGGAGGCCAGGTGCGCGCTGCGGCGAGCAGAGGGCGGCGGCGGCGGGCGGGCCAGGGCGGTCGGCCGCCCCGCCCGGCAGCTCGCCTGCTGCTGCACAGCAGGATGCCATCCCTGGGCCGCTGCCAGCACCCGCTTGTTGCTCCAGCTGGGCTCCTGTGGGCGCCCTCGCCCGCCGCGCCACCACGCTGCGGCACGCCCCGGCGCCGCCGGCGCCCTGCACCCCTCCCCACCCCGCCCTCGCCCGTTTGCCCCCCGCCACCCCCCACCCGCCGCGTACCGCAGTACTGCTGGGTGCACCCAGAGAAGGAGGCCGCCATCCAGTGCATCCTGTGCCTGCGCTGCAAGGTGGACACCAAGAAGAGCTACCACTGCTCGCCCGAGTGCCTGCGGGAGCACTGGGCCTTCCACCGGGACTTCCACCAGCAGTCCCGGGAGAATGGTGGGTGGGCGACCAGCCTGCTGGTTGCCTGCTGCTTGCTCGCTGCTTGCTGGCTTCTGGGGCAGCATGCCATGCAGGTGGCAGCCAGGGCAGGCGGTGCCGGCAGGCCTGTGGTGGCGGCGCTGCCGCGGCTGGCGCCGTGTCGTGCCGCCTGCTGCTGACGCCCCGGCCGCGGCCGCCTGCTTGGGGAGGGAGCGCTGTGTCGGGCGCGTGCCAGGACGCTGGCAGCTGCCGTGCAGCCGACCGGCTGTGGTTTGCTGCTCCGCTGGTACTGCAGGCGACAACGGCTTCCCTCGGGTGGACAGCTTCAAAGGCAGCTACACGTACAGCAACAGCGGGGAGACGTGGGTGGAGGTGCGCAGCCGCCCGGAAGCCGCCCTGCTGGCAATCAGCCCGCGGAGCGGGGCGCCGGCAGGTGGAGCAGCCAGCCGTAAAGCCGCAGGAGGCGGCAGCAGACGGCTGCAGCCTCCACTCTGCGGCAGCAGCATTCAGCTGGGCTCTGCTGGAATTGCTGTGCCGAGCAGCCCGGGGCTGTCGCCGCTCTCTTCTTCATGCTGCCGCCGCCGCTGAAAGCGCCGCTGCTCTGTCGCCGCCGCTGCTGGGTGGTGCAGGTGGGGCGGGAGCGGGTGTACACGCCTGTGCCGGAGGATGTGGGCGCCATCCTCAAGTTTGAGTGCACCTCGTACGATGCGGGTGCGCCGCGCTTTCTTCCCTCCCTCCGTCCCTCATCTCCTGTGGAGGTTGCAGGGGAGGGAGGGCGCTTCCCTATGTGCAGGCGCAGCTCGGAACCCTGTGCAGCGCTGTGGTGCCCTGTTTCGGGAGCCGCCGGCTGGCGCGCTGCGGGGTTTGGGGCAGGCCTGGGGCCAGGCTGCACCACTGCCTCGCCAGCGTCTGCCTGCCTGACCGCCTGGTGCCGGTGCCTGCCCGCCTGCCTGCCTGCCTGCCGCAGCCTCGCCATACCCTGAAGTGGGCAAGACCTTCTCGATCATCACCGCGCGCGTGCGGCCAGGTGGGATGCGGCGGCACGCTGAGCTGGCACGCTGAGGTGGCGCCGGGCGCTGCTCGGCTTCCCTTTGGATCCCCCCTCCCATGCCCACAATGCTCATGCTCATACTCATACTCATGCTCATGCCCCTCCCTGCCTGCCTGCCTGCCTGCCTTGCAGCGCCCTGCCCGCCGCGCCGCATGCTGGTGCCCATGACCCCCAGCAGGCCCAGCGTGACCAAGGGCAAGTTCAGCCTGCTGTCCTACAACATGCTGGCAGACCTGTACGCCACGGTGAGGCGGGCGCTGACCTGGCGGAGGGTGCTGACCTGGCGGGGAGGCAGCGCCATGCTGCAGCCTGCTCGCCCCACCGCGCCGCTTGTTTGTTTGTTTGCGACTCCACACACGCGCCCACCCACCCACCGACACCCATACACCCATATGCACTCATGTACCCATGCCCCCATATGCACTCACACACGCGTACACCCACCCTGTCCATACCGCAGGGCGACCAGTTTGGGTACTGCCCGCCCTGGGCGCTGGCCTGGCCCTACCGCAAGCTCAACCTGCTCAAAGAGCTGCTGTCGTACGACGCCGACGTGATGTGC